TAGATGGCACAAGAATATAGCCAAACTTAATTTATTATTTAAAATATACAATAAAAACCATTAACGCGTTTCACCACTAGGGTTTTATCAAAATGGTATATTTTAAATAATAAATTAAGTTTGGCTATATTCTTGTGCCATCTATATTATTATTTTATTATTTTTACACATAACCTTTTTTTTACTACCTATTTCCTGGCATTTTATATATATCCTGAGGTGGGGATTATACCGCCCACGCGACATTCCAAGTGCAGTGATATCTGCACTCTATTTGTGAGTATATTTCCTATTCTTTTTATTTTTATACCACATTATATTATCAGAGAGCACTATTGGCTGTTCCTATTTTTCCCTTTCCTGAGAGTTGGACACCGTCATACTCCAAGAGGACAAGCATTCGTTATATCCTACAAGCAGGGATTATTCTGCTGGAAACCCATTACCCCTGAGCTGGTCATAGCTCATGATAATGTGAGTGCATTTCATCTTCTTATTTTATATCTACACATTTTATACATTCTGCACGATTGGTCCTTTCCCTTTGTGTTTTCCATATCACGAGACGATCTGAAGTATCACAGACAGAGGAAACACTTTACCAGTGGAAATTGTGGAACAGACACTTCTACCCTCCAACATATATTGGGACTCATTTTATTTTATTTATTTATTTATTTTACTTAATTTTTCGTTTTATTTTGGCGCTACCTTTCTTCCTGCTTTACTGTACATTATCTAGAGGGTAAGAGGGTTACCCTCTATAAGGTTGCTGCCTACTTTATTTATTTATTTTTATTTTTTTATTCTATATATTATTAGCGCTTACCTATTTTTGACTTTTTCAGTAATGGCAGTCAGTCTGTCTTTCTCTATATACATACAGTAATAGCAGTCTGTCTCTCTCTCTTTATATATATATATATATATATATATATACAGTAATAGCAGTCTCTCTCTCTCTATATATATATATACAGTAATGTCAGTCTGTCTCTCTCTCTCTATATATATATACACACACAGTAATAGCAGTCAGTCTGTGTCTCTCTCTCTCTCTCTCTCTCTCTCTCTCTATATATACAGTAATGTCAGTCAGTCTCTCTCTCTCTCTCTCTCTCTCTCTATATATACAGTAATGGCAGCCTGTCTCTCTCTCTCTCTCTCTCTCTCTCTCTCTCTCTCTCTCTCTCTCTATATATATATATATACAGTAATGGCAGCAGTCTGTCTCTCTCTCTCTATATATATATATATATATATACAATAATGTCAGTCTGTCTTTCTCTCTCTCTATATATATACAGTAATGGCAGTCAGTCTGCCTCTCTCTCTCTCTCTCTCTCTCTCTCTCTATATATATATACAGTAATGGCAGTCAGTCTGTCTCTCTCTCTCTCTCTCTCTCTCTCTATATATACACAGTAATGGCAGTCAGTCTGTCTCTCTCTCACTCTATATACAGTAATTGCAGTCAGTCTCTCTCTCTCTCTCTATATATATATACACAGTAATGGCAGTCAGTCTGTCTCTCTCTCTCTATATATATATATACACAGTAATGGCAGTCAGTCAGTCTGTCTCTCTCTCTGTCTGTCTCTCTCTCTATACACAGTAATAGCAGTCTGTCTGTCTCTCTCTATATACACAGTAATAGCAGTCTGTCTGTCTCTATCTCTATATACACAGTAATAGCAGTCTGTCTGTCTCTCTCTATATACATACAGTAATAGCAGTCTGTCTGTCTCTATCTCTATATACACAGTAATAGCAGTCTGTCTGTCTCTCTCTATATACATACAGTAATAGCAGTCTGTCTGTCTCTATCTCTATCTCTATATACACAGTAATAGCAGTCTGTCTGTCTCTCTCTATATACATACAGTAATAGCAGTCTGTCTGTCTCTCTCTCTATACACAGTAATAGCAGTCTGTCTGTCTCTATCTCTATATACACAGTAATAGCAGTCTGTCTGTCTCTATCTCTATATACACAGTAATAGCAGTCTGTCTGTCTGTCTCTCTGTCTGACCATAAATCCCCATACCTTCTACAATAGGTGTCTATTCTATACTAAACCCCTGTATGTTTGAGACATGGAGCACCGGGTTCCGGTTTGCTGCCAGAGACAGGTGATGTGTGCGCCCTCTGCCTGCCGGAGGTCATATTGCACGTCAGCCACAGCAAAGGCGTCTGGGTAATATGTCATTAACCCTTTAATGGCCGGTATTATTAATATAGATAGCTTTATGCTAAAAACATCAAAGATTGTCTTTCTATTTTTCCCCCTGTTTGTTCTCCAATGACATCCGTCGTTTAGATGGAAAACAGACATAATGTACTGTATATAATTTGTATAGCTAGATTGAATATATATTTATTTTTATACCGTTTTAAAGCAACAATTATTTATACAAAATAAAAACGTGTCAGTCCTAATTGTTTTATTGAAACAGGGTCTTGGAACTTGTGTTGGCTGTCAAAGTGCTGCCTTGGGCTGGTGGGAGTTACACATTTAGCAATAACTAAACGTGGGGACTGGTTCAGAACAGCAGCCCCAATGCTGGATCCAGTGTATCATCCAGTGATGGGCTGCACAAGAAAAGTGCTTCCCTGCAGTATTTCCCATGCAGTGCAGGAAGGGATTTAATCCATTAACCCAGGAGAATGGCAAAAGATTCTATCTACATGAATTCAGCAAGTCTGGAACATGCTCCCTGTCTGTGCTCATCTGCATATACAGCAAGGCATTCTGGGAGTACTGCAGAAACATCATCTCTCGGGATTATTCCCTTCCAATTTATGGTTTAATCAGTGTATGTAAAATACAGACAAATTCTATATATTCATATTTATTTCCGGTTAACGCATCTTGGTCTATATTGTGTAGTTTGTGGTTATTGGTGAATAAACCCAGAATTATTTAATTCATTGTAAATTGTCAGGAGTCAAACTAGGTTGTTCACTAAACTGAAAAGAGAAGTTAAACATTTAGGCCAAAATAATCAATTTGGAAAAATTGTCCAAATGAATCCTCTATCTAGTTTGGCTATGTTGGCCTTAAATTTTAAAGTCACTTTGAATCCCCAGCAATTCTCACGTTAGTGAATAAATCTGACCATAAAGTTCAAGTTTTAGATTTTTAAAAAAAAAAACCACAAATTAGAATTTCTAGCAGTTTAGAAGATATTTTTAATTTCGGCTGCCGTGGTTGAATTTAGAAGTTAACTTTGAAG